TGGCCTAAATTAAGCTTAATTCGGGCCAAAATTCGAAATAACGCTCATGAGCGTTATTCCGCGAAAATACGGTAGAAACTTTAAATGGTAATATACGACATCTTTCATTGCAGCACAGGATTGATTATAATGTTTTCTGATCGACAGTCCCCTAGTTCGTCAAAATAAGAAGGATATTATCAACCAACAAACTCCGCCTCTTGGAAAATACACCAACAATATGACAATATATATGGACAAGTTAAAATTTTAACTTCAGCTTTTATAATAATGATGATTAACTGTCTTGCAGTTTCCACCGCAGTCTATTACCGAAATTATGTTGCCAACGGAAATCTGTAATTTCCTATGCGTTTAATCATTTTAATTTTAACCTTACAGGATTTAATTTCTATATTACAGTTTAATATTAAATAGAGCCATCAGAAATGAATTCTGCTGATAAAACTTATTAAATGCGTAAAAACAAAATATACTTACGGTACTAGTATACAGATATTAAGAGAATAAGTTAAAAATGTATTTACTAATATTTTTTCAAAATTTATAAGATAAAATATGTATATATACACATGTATATTTATTTATATATAAATCAAAAAAAGACAAAATCTATTAATAAAGTTAATAAAAAAATATTCATACACAGATTGGCGTATTGTAGAGCATATTTTTATTTTATTTATTATTTTTTTTCTGAAAAAGTCTGTAAATTTGCAACTTTGCTAAATAATACGCATGTTTTCTTACAGTTTCCTATTTGATTTTTTAAGTATATAATAGAAAGAATCGGATCTGAAGAACTATCATATACCACGTGGTCGACCGTTAAAGAACTGAGATACAAATTCGGAATCTTCGGTTTTGATAGCATACTGATTGGAAGGGGAATTGAAAGGGTCTGTAATTTTGTTGTTTGGAATTATTTGATTCGATTGATTTATTTGATCCAATTGAATTCCGGGAACTTCGAGATTACTACTCGTAAAGAACACGGGTAGAAATTCGGAATCTTCGGTTTTGATGGCATACTGATTGGAAGGGGAATTGAAAGGGTTGCCTATAATTATTTCGTGATTTATTTGACTTGAATTCGATTGATTCAATTGTTGATTCAAATTTTTACTGTTTTTGGAATGATCCGAGGTTTCTGAGTTACGGCTTACATTTTTATTGACGAAACAGTACGGTATTTGTTTTTTCACATCCTTTATAATATATTTAGCATATTCTTTATATACGTTTTTTACTTCGGGCGGTTCTGCATGCCACGCTTCTTTAGATAATTGCCTCGAATTAGAATTAGAATTAGAATTTTTAAACGTGGCCACAGAATATTTTTTATACAGTATAAGATTACTAATCTTATTAAAGTCTTCTTACACGTCTTATGTTTGGATTTGCATAGTATATATAATTTATATTCCCTACGGTATAAAAGGTATGCGTTTGGAGCTCTTGAAATTTTTCCTTTTTTATATTTTCTAATTGTTTCATTAACAATTTCAGAGAGATTGAGTGAACGTGGAGGAAACGGAGGTTGACTAATTTTTGGCTTGTTATCCTGATTACGATGTTCTTTTCTGGGTGATTCATTAACATGATCAGGGAAATTGAGTAAGCGTGGAGGGAACAACAGTCGATGAACTTTTGTTGGCTTGTAATTTAAAATAAATTCAATGTCTATTTTTGATGGTAGCTTCTCAAGTTCAATTAAAATCTTATCCAATGTCGGACGTTGATCAGGATTTGAAGACCAGCATCTATCATAAAGATTAATGTAATCCGAAGGTGTGTTAACAATAGCCTTCTCTTTAATATTGTTTGAAATGTTTGACATTATTTCCATTAACGATAGACAATGAAATGGAGGAATGCCACTTGTGAGCTCCCATAACAATACTCCAAGACTATAAACATCTGACTTTTTATTGCGATCCATGCAAAAAAAATAGTGGATCTATATACGCTATCACGCCATGTGTGTTTAAGCAAGTAGTATCATCTAAATGTTTCGATATTCCAAAATCTGCGATCAAGGCCTTACCATCATTTATCAAAATATTCTTAGAATGCTAAAAGAAATTTTATTGTAACCGATTAGAACTGATTTATTAAAAGCTTAATTAAAAAATTAAATTACACACTAAATCTTGATGAACGATGTCCCTAGCATGCAAAAAATCCAACCCAACTGTGATTTCCTTCGCAATTTGGATAAGTTCGGACCATGAAATTTTGTAAAGAACATTGTTTTGCTTTGCTTGTAAATACATTCTTAGGGTTTTTTCGTTAGCTAATTGTAGTACCATCATAAAATTTTCCGTAAATGGGTATAAATATAAACAGAAAGATTAATTGAACTATTTGAAATGTAAATTTAAGAAAATTAAATGTTATACCCATTGAAATACCATAGAATTTGACAATGTTAGGATGACAGACGTTGTAAAGAAATTTAAGCTATATGCATTGATACAAATTTGATGTCAGAAAATCAAATATTAAGACTATTTCTGTTTTAATATTCAATAATAATATATATTACCTCTTGTTTAATTTTTGTGAATGTATTATCATTCATATATAAGTTATTGTTTATGCATTTTAATGCATAAGTTTTTCCTTGAAAATTTGCAGAATATACGGTCGCTGTCTCTCCCTTTCCAATGAGTTCAAACTTGTTGAATTCCCAATAATCAAAGCTTTTTATGTTGAAATCTCTTAAATGCTTTTCTAATTTTTCCGAATATCCAAGAACTAACGATATTTATAAAAATATTTATAATATTAATGAAACATAATTTAAAATTTAAATATTGTGATACGATAATTTACATGTGTTATCCAAATTTGACACGATTTTGCACGATTTATCGAGTATTACATTTCTACTGTTTTCTATGAGCTCATATTTCAAGTTACTATCAATCGTACCAATCTGCATGCTATGAAGTTTTTCTTCGCTCATTATTAAATTTAAAATCGTTTTCTAAGTCGATTATTCGGATTAAATATTAAAAGGTTAGATGATCATTTCTAAATCCTTTGTTTAAATATTTAAAGATTTCTAAATCCTTTTATTTCTTTTTTTTTGTGTAATTTTTAGTGGCAGCACAGCATAAGTGAAGTTAGCTAAATATCCGACAAATGCAACTTATAGAAGTAATAATATGTCATCTACTGCCCAGTCTCCTTCCACGATTAATCATTGCATAGAGCGAGAGATTGAACGCTCTTCACATAATGAAGGACCTCACTTGACACTAAACTTAGAACCTACTTCGTTTTCAAATGAGTACAACGCTTCATCAATGACTAATTTGTTAGCAAATTCTAAATCAGTTTCCTCAATTCCTAATGTTTCAAAGATTAACGTCACAGGTTTGAAAAGCTTAACAAATGAAAACATCATCATAATAGTCTCCGATAAGTTTGACTAACACTGCTCTGGGAATTCAGTTAATCGCAATGAACCTACTAAAGTCGATCCTAAATAGCAGCATGTTTTAATAGGTAAGAATTATTTATAACTTCATGACTACGTACCAAAATAATCATAAGGAATCTATTCTCGGTCCAAAGTCGTTAATAAAACTGTCATTAAATACATATTTATGACAAAGATATGTGAATAACAAAAAAAAAGACATCGTATTAATTGGCTATTCATAGATTTCACCAAAAATGCCTTTCAAAGTTAAATCTCTAATTGGGAGTTACAGTAATTTTAGCTTAAACAGTCTTTCTAAATGGAACATATGGGTAAATAGCTTAGATATCACATATATTAAATTTTTCTTAAATAATTGTCTTATTTATACCATAGTGCATTAACTAAAAGCCCAGTGCCAACAGGTTATTTTGTACGAGATATCATCAATTATCAAATAATTATATATAAATACCATATGTTTTTAATTAAACGGGCACCGAAAAAGGATAATATTTTATTCATGCACTAGTCAATTCGTTATTCGACTTTGGTAATGAGGATCTTTTCTCAACTTTCTGAATAATCTTAATATCCCATATACATTGACGTAAGCCACTTACACGTATTTGTATAAATAATCTGAATTCTAAGATTTTTCTTTTTTTTTTTTATTAGCATAAATGCTACTGCCAAGAATTATCATTCTGGCTATGAAAATTTTTCTTCCGATTCATTTAATGGAATAGATGAATACGATTTTTCCGATGTTAATACTACTTATGTTGCAAATTTGAAGAAAGGTTCCGTTAATTGCATAAAATGCTCCAAAAAAACTACACGAACAAAATGTAGGACGTGTAATCTTGATCCCACTTCTTTTAACTCGGATAAAAGAAGTAGACCATACCCAAAAATTAAGTTAGATGAAAAAAATTCTCCGCGTTCCAGTCACAAGCAGGTATATTCACGTGCAACTGAAACAATTGAAACATTTATTGCATCACCAATCCATAAAACACATCTGAAAGAAGAAAACCTTGATAACGATAAGAATACAAGTGAGCTATAACATTATAACGCTTAAGTTCTGAATTTATTAGATATACTGACAACATAAGTAAATTGTGGCATTAATAGTTAATTCGTATTCACAAATGTTAAAAATATTCCTAAAAGAAAGAAGTATAAAGAATTTTGATTTTTCACAATTCAGCAAACGCGAATTAATTGGGCGTGGAGCACCTGCTATGGTATATTCTGCTAACTTTAAAAGAAAAACATACGCACTAAAAGATCTAAACAATAACCTAATTATGGATAAAAAAACTTACAAAAAATTTATTCGTGAGGTAGGATTCTATCTTATAAGGTCGGTATTCAAAATTAAGAAAAAACCTTAATAAAAAAAATAATTTGTACCATGCAGCTTTAAAATCTATATTATATAAATCATCCTAATATTATCAGATTTTACGGGATATCAAAGGGTATGATGCACTTTTTCTAAACTAATCTGAATAACAAAATTTTAATTTTCTAAGTCTGTCCACAATTAGCTCCGCCGGATCGTTTCATAATGGTATTGCAATTTGCTAATGGTGGTAATCTAAGAAAGTATTTACAAACAAAGCATAATCATGGCCTCTATAAAATTTTATGGGTTGAACTTATTCAAATTGCAAAAGAAATTACAGACGGATTGAAATATTTGCATGAGAATAACATAATTCATCTGGATTTGGTAAATTTAAAGTTATTTTCTACTAAATTTTGACTTAATTTATTTTTTAAAATATTGCATTATAAAATTTATAGAGTTCTAAAAATATCCTAATTAATGATGGTAAAGCCTTAATCGCCGATTTTGGAATATCCAAACACTTAGAATATAATATCACTTCAAGCTCAAATACACTTGGAACGGTCGCATATGTAGACCCACAGTATCTTCAGATGGAAAAAAAATTTAAACGTAATGAAAAATCAGACATTTATAGTTTGGGTGTATTATTCTGGGAACTTACAAGCGGAGTTCCTCCATTTAACAACTGGACCTTGATGGACATTATGGTGACAATTCATGACAATAAAAGAGAGAAGGTTGTTGCTGGTACACCAATAGGTTATAAAGACCTCTTTATGAAATGTTGGTCTTCTGATCCTAATCAACGTCCATCGTCGGTTAAAGTTTTTAAAAAACTTGAGAAACTATCAACAGAAATAATTATTGAATCAATTGTAAATATTATAGATAATCGGACTTTTTAAATATTATTATTTTTATAGAAAAAAAAACAACCTTTAAACCACGTAAATATATAAAAATTACATTTAATTTTGTGCATACTTTGTCTTAAATTTCAGAAATTTATAGTCTCAGTTGGGGATTCTATAAAATTGGTGAAATGGCGGGTAAAGAATGCTTAATTGCATTATATAATTTCAATTACAGTCAGAACTCGTTATAGTCACTCTTAATATAGTCAACCCTTGATATAATCACACTGTACTGTTTTTAAATTTGAGCTAATATAAACCATATAAAATTTGACCTTTATATAGTCACCAAGCTGATGATTATGTCGAGGTTTCTGTATATTATTATTTTCATTTTAAATCCAGAAAATTGTGACAATAAAAATAAAAGAGTCCTTAGTAAGTTTGGAAAAAAAATTGAAAAAGTAATTTCATTTTTATTTCAATTGATTTTTTTGTTTATTGCGAGGGAATCAAAAAAATTCATTCCTTGTTCAACGTTTTTTTATAAGTTGATTACCTACACAAATGTCTACATAATCTCTTTCTTTATCATCACTCATAAATTAACCTCTTTTAAATTTCGCAATCTTCTTTCTTTTATTTAGTTTTTAGCAAGAGTTCTTTTTTTGATGATGATTTGGTAGTTTGATTAGTAGCAACAGTAGTAATGTCGAGTGGTGATAATGATACTTTAATTGCTGCCTGAACTCTTTTTGCTTCCTTTTTCTGTAGAGAAAAATAAAAGGAATTAAATTTACATTATTACTGTATTGGTAAGAACTATCAGAAACTTTTGCTTACAAGACGTTTAGTAAACTTTGCAGATTTGCCTATTATGCTCATTGAAGCTATCGCTATTTAGTTGTAACATACAGTAAGTACGTACGTTACATACCTTGTTAGGTAATTATGGGATCAGTATCATATGGGGTCTTTGCCTTGAAAATGTTTTCTAGCAGAGAATGCATGGTAGAATATGTATTTCATCTAAATTAAATAAATAAAAATTTTTGAAAAGCATATTTTTAATAATATTTAGTACCTAGTAGTTTTTTTTAACTTGATTATTTATTTTGGGGTCCATACTGTATGTTAAGAAATTCGCACTATACTTTTTTTATTAACTGTTATACAGTACCGATATTATATAGCACAAAAATATAAGGCTATACAAACTTGTATTTTGATTCTCATAACCCGGCCAGGTCAACAAAACTTTAATTAGGCACAGTAAAGGATTGGTCAATCATAATTCGCCCTAGAAAGACAAAATAACGATAAGGATCAATTATATTAACATTAACATCATTGCTTCTATATTTATTTAAATATTGTATCTTAATTTATTTACAATACATTAATTTAGTTCGTGAGTATTAAAAAACAAAATATCAGGCTTACCGAATAATTGATTGTAAAGGCAATTAATTGCAATTTTTCAAGCTCAATTAATTAATTGGTGGCGCA